TGGTAGTGGTGGAAATCAAATTCGTTGTGAACGAGTTACTGTCTGGTGTGCGATATCGGTAATGGGAATAATTAGTAAAATGCAGCTCGTTACAGGAACATGATCGAGGAATTTTTTCTTTCAAGCCTCTCAAAGGAATGAACGTTAGAGAAGTGTGGTTTCAGCAAGATGGAGCCACAGCACACACAGCACGAGCACCAATAGATTTGTTGCGACAACATTTCCCCGACCGCCTCATCTCTCTCAGGGGCGAACTCCCTTGGCCGGCACGCTCTCCAGATTTGGCTTCATGCGATTTTTATTTATGGGGTTATTTGAAATCCCTGGTTTTGTCAATCGACCACGGACCACAGCTCACTTCAAGAACAACATTCGCGACGCCATTGCCAACATACCGATTGATATGCTGTGAAGAGTGGAGACGAACTTCAGAAATTGACTTAATCAGTGTATGCACAATGGGGGTCACCGTTTAACCGATGTCATTTTTAACACCGTAGTATGGAAAAAAACTTGGGATATTGTACTTTTGCTTTTATTGACCTTTCAAATAAGTAAGTTTCTCAGGCGCACCCTGTATTACGCTTTGATGAAAGTTAAATGTTAGCATAAGGGTAGAAAAGTTAATTGTGTTTTTTATTGTTCGTTAAGAAATTTACGTTGAAATCTCCTCCTATTATTATGCGCTTATTTTTCTCTTTTATTGAAATTGATTGTGACACATTACATCTGTGTTGTTGTACAATATTTTAGAGGTTTTATTATAAACAATGAAAAAGGCCATCGAAAACGTAATCATATTTTTTATAGGATAAGCGTGACAAACGAGCACACAGTCCACTTGATGGTAAGTGGATGCTGTGGCCCATACACATCTACATTCGATTAAGAATCGTCATCGAAATGCAGATGCGTTGTCACCCCTGAGGACTAAGATGGAATGCCTCGATCGCAGTAAAACGGGATACCGGTTCTCTACACTCACCATACGAAACACAGCAGCATTAAGCTGCTATTTTACGCTGGTATTCTGTGAGAGCGTGGTCCTTCCCCGGTCGGGCTGACCAATTCATGCTACAACCGTAACATAGCTGCAGCGTGGTTCTTTATACCACGTACAAAATTATTTATTATGAAACACTATAGATCATTCTTGAAGTGAGAGCATTAAGTTGTTACATTTGGCTGTGGACGACTGGTAATGTTTTCAAAGCTTCTGAGTACAGCCTACGTGGTCCGAACTGTGTTATGTATGTACTAGCGATCCACTCCAGCTTTCATTGTGAAGACAAATATTAGTATTATTTTATTTATTTTATTAAGAATATTTAACAAGACACACATTATTTTAGGGTTATACATATACAGGGTTATTTTGCAACTACCAGCCAAATTTGCAGAGAAGGTTCTGAACAAGTAAATATAGGCAAATGGTAAAAAATAATTAATAAAAAAAATCTCAAATTTTATGTAATTTCTATCTTTTGAAATTCAAAATGAGTGGTAATCCATTATTTGCCTTGTTGACCGTCTTCGCCGCGCCCTTCTACCGTTACACCGTAAATACCTATGTCTGCTTGCCCTCGCCCGAACGACGGCTGACACCATAGATAATACACTAAACACCAGGCTGACGGTGTTGTCCGTGACCTCATTACATATAAGCAAAGGTGAAGGTGTTCTGTCCTTTTTATCTTTAAAATTCAAAATGCGTGGTAATTTTGGACACATTTGTAAGGGTCGATCGGTAGGCAAAAACGTTGTTGCCTATAAATCACATTCAATTTAGGATAATTTCAAATAAACTTTTATTTGAAATTATCCGAAATTGTACGAGAAATCGTATTTTCAAAAACGGCAATAACGGTATATTATTATTTATATATTTGAACTTAAGTTTAAAATTTGGCCACTATTTAAAAAATTACCTTGTATAAAAATCAATTGCTGTTTACGTAGGTCACTCAATAAGTTTTGATATGCTCCAAATTTAAAAATGGAACGCACCCGTGTTATATTTTTCTAAAAAGCTAATTTATTTAAAAACTCCATAAGCCAATTGCTCACTATTAAAAAAAAACAAAGTTCTATTAATTTTCCTGCAACGTTTCCACAAAACGATGGATCTTAACCGTGAACATTTGCGCGCCATGATCTATTACGATTTTAAATTTGTTTTAACCGAACAATTAAGCTTACAACTGTTACAATCAGCACTAGGGGACTCAACTCCATCACGCGCAATAATTTTTGTGTGGTTTGCTGAATTCAAAAGTGGTAAAATTAACCTAAAAGATGACAAAAGAACCGGGGCCCTGCAAACAGCAGTAACGGCAGAAAATGTATGGACTACTGAAATGTTGGTGCGAGAAAACCCCCGAATCACATGAACGGATATCGAAAAGATTGTAGGCATTATTTCGAGGAGCATCCATACCATCCTACATCAACATCTTGGAGTGAGGAAGCTTTTGCTTTTGCTCTCCAAAAGCGAAAATCAGACTCGTATGGATTGGTGCCATGAAATGAGCCTACGTTTTGAAAACGGGGTATCTAGGCGTGTTTCAGAAATCGTTACTGGTTATGAGACATGGATCTATCAATATGATTCGAAAAGTAAAAGACAATCGTGGGTATGGGTCTTCTCAAAAGTACAGTTACCGACAAAGCTGCAAAGACTCTCGCAACGTCAGCAAAACTCCTCTCTATATCGATTAGAGAGTCGAGTAACAACCCTCAATGCCGCTGAAAGGCCAACTCCGACTTTATTAGATAACCTTCTTTTTTCGTAGTCATAACCGACTACGAAAAATTTACCGATTGCGACAAATCGTATGACACCTACAATGCCATTAGAAGGCTCCCAGGACCGGTCCATAGTGGTGGACCGCGAGGACAGCACGGGTAATGGGGGCTTACCCCGAGGCCCGAAACCTCCATGTGCCCAGAGACACGTGAAGAAGACATCAACGTCAGCAAAAAAAAATGGTGGACAGTTTTTTTTCGCGGAGCAGACATTTGTCGACGCCAATACTGGAAAATTTTAGGTCAGTGAACTCTGAATGATATACTACAGTAGCATTACCCAAAGCTTTTCAAGCTTTGCGGGAGAGAAGACCATGGCAACCCAAATACAATTATATACATCTTATAATTTAAAGGCTTCTTATGTACCAAGTACACATAAAAGTGAAAGCTCTGCTAAATTTGTTGAATTGAATTCTACACAACTTTAAAATTACACAATACCAAAGCTTTAATGAATATCCACAACAAATTACTGTTAACAATACAAAATAAACAAATGTTCACAATTCAGCTTGACTAGTTGACAGACGTATTGAACTTAACCCTATACATAATTATTATTAATCATGTACGAATTTTACAATAATATCAGGAAACCCTAATATATATATATATATATAAATCCTTACAATTACAATAGGTATCGGGATAAAATAGAATGTGCTCACTGTTTCCTATATACACATGCGCTTTTATAATAAAGTGGCAGATAATATTGGAACATTTCGGTCCGAAACTAAAAACACTATTTATTAAACAGCTCCCGTTACGGAAATTGTTTCCACATTGTTTGTGTCCGGCATTGAATAGACCAGAAAATTCATATAAAAATAAAAGAGTTTTTCGATAAGTATAAATTGTCTGCCATTTCTAATCAACCTTTTAAGTATCGTCCTCCCAAAAAAATCCTTACAACTTGCCTCCTCAAAGCAATCATTAAAAGTCTGATTGTAATCAACCTTTTTTTTCTTTGGTAAAGGACTCGTACTGAGATCAAATACCTCAGTCCCTTAAGACGTTAACGAAGGATACCTTCAACTTTTAAATATTAATTTTTGATTCAATCTATGCAGAACGTGTCTTGAAATTTTACAGTGGTATGCTGGGGTTTGGATATAATTTTATTAATTATGGGTTCCCAAGCAGTTGCAGTGCATTGTACCACCCAACCCAACCATCTTCTCTATTGAAATTTGATAATAATAACATATACCAAACCAATAAAGTTATGTGGGTTACCCAAATTACACAAACCAAACGCTTCACTACGTCCCACAATGAGCCAAATTTATTCACCAACATATAAATTGGCTTAACACTTAGCACAAATACTGTCACCACTGAGAGGACATATAAGAGCACATACAAAAGATTTACACAATTTTGTCAGTGAGTTAATAGACCTACATCTTGCCGACAGTGAAGTAATTGTCAAGTTTGATGTCCAGTCACTTTTTACATGGTTTCGCTTATGTAGAATCGAAGTAAAACCTGATAAAAGTGTAGCAATACACTTTCAAAGAAAACTCTCTCTCAATCATCGGAACTTCAATCCGAAGAACTCTCTGAACACGATCTGAACACATATTCGGCTGGCTGATCCCGTGGCAAACAGCCACCAAATACTTTGGGGACACATTCAACCACGCCGTAACCATCGTGAAACAGATTTGTACCGTTCGAAATCGTGCCTAATTCGTCACTAGTCGCCTCCACCCACTTTTTTTAAGGCAAAGGGAACATTTTTACTACCATGTTTAGTGAAACAAAAAGTTCAATAAATATTTCAAAACACCATATTTTTTTTACACTGGCGACATAAGAAGACTAACACTAATTTGACATAAAAATATGACAGCTGACAATTCGACATAATTCTGTTCCTAATCGAAATCGAAATGTATCTTTCGAATATAACTCGAAATAAACGAAATCGAAGTGAATCTTTCGAATCTGCTACTAACAAAAGGTATATATATTTTACTTATTAGTTTTATTTATGTTCAGTTTACAATATATGGTGGTTATTATGCTGTTTTCATGTGTTGATTTTTCGTAATAGATATTTTTAAGGTGGGTTGCATATTCCCTGTCCCCATCGGGGACTTCGGTATTTTGGTTATTGATTTTTGATTTTTACTTCTGGTTCCACAACCACCTTAATTAGCCACCTTATTGCTTTTCTTTTACAGATGAGTCGAAAAAAATTGAATGATTTAGAGATAGAAGATGCTATAGATGAGATATTTGGGTTACCTGATAATCCAGAATTATCGGACGACAATGTTGAGTCAGAAGAAGAAGAACAACTTAATACGGCTAGACTTGAGTGTATATTAGCAGGACTAGATGATGATGATGAGATTAATAACCCAGAAGTGCAAGCTGATCTTCACAATATAAGTAGTACCTCGTCTCAAAGTTCTTCCAGGACTAATCGCGTAACTCGACCACTCCCTCTAACACCTGTTTTACCCACCAATTCTGGTACAAGGACCTTATCGCCTGAAAGACCTTTATCACCTGATAGACTTTTATAGCCTGAAAGACCCTTATTGCCTTTAATTTACGACTCGAGTTTAGATTCGGAGCAGCCTGATGCTGATAAAGAGGAGTGGAAAAAAGTAAACTGGACATTTCGACCGGATCCCTAAGTGTTTGATGAGATGCCAAAGCGACGGTTCAATAATAGAACAAAACCTGTTCGTTTTTTTTAAAGCTTCTTTACGCAACAAGTTTAAGATTTGATTATTGTGGAAACCAATAAATATGCTGAGCAGCAAAATATAGAAGCATGAAGTCCGTTGACACAACAAGAGCTACAAGCTTTTATAGGCATATTGATAATCATGGGGTATCACATCCTGCCATCTCTAGACCTATATTGGTCCTCTGACCCGGGTTTCAGCGTCAATGAGGTGGGTGATGTGATGCCCGTAAAAAGGTTCAAAAAATATTGCGTTGTCTGCACTTCAACGATAATGAAAAACGGTCACAAAGAAATACACCTGATAACGACAAATTACATAAAGTTCGGCCTTTACTAAACTTCATAAATGAAAGCTGCCAAAATAATACCGTCGATCCCACGTCCCAAACCATAGACGAGTTAATGATATTGTTCAAGGGCAGTTCATCGTTGAAGCAGTACATGCCTTTGAAACCAATCAAGCGTGGATACAAAGTTTGGTGTTGGTGTGATAGCCAAAACGGATATTTGCATGAGATTGACATATACACCGGTAAGACCGAAAATACAGTTGAAGCAGGCTAGGGCAAAAGTTATAAAGAAATTAACACAGAAACTTATAGCAATAGGTATGCAGAATACTCACATAACTTTTGATAACTTTTTTTGTGACTTCAAAATTTTAGTCTATTTGTTTGACAACGGTATATACGCAACTGACACGGTGCGAAAACAAAGAGCGAAAGAAAATTTTCTTTTTTTTTAATAATGAAGAATATTAAAATGCTGTAAACATTACTAATATTCTCCTTAACCACTCGTGGTAAGATTAAGTTGCTTTTGTTACGAGTGGTTCACGCCAGTATTCGAATGGCGGATTCGAACCCACGACCTTATTGAATTCGCGGTCCACGCACTGCTATCTGGCTACTGTCGCTTATTTTTTATTTTATTTTTTATTATATATTATTTTATTATAAGTTAAAGCTACTAAAAGGAAATTTCCAGTTGAGGGTGAAAGAGAATGTAGCTTTTGTAATTTGGCAACACAACAAAGAAGTGCTGTTTATGACAAACGCATTTCATCCTAAGCTCGGTCGAACCATAGTGACGAGGACGTAAAAAAGGTGGATCCAAATTAGATGTTCGGTGCCCCCCTTGTCACAGAAGAATACACCAAAAGGATGGGAGGAGTGAATCGGTTTGATCGACTTAAAAAGTACCTACACAGTTGTACGACGAAGTAAAAAGTAGTGGCTTAGAATTTTATATTTCTTACTCGATCTCAGCATTACTAACGCCTTTATTTTGAGCCAAAGCTGCAAACTAAGGCTAAGTCATTTTGAATTCCGCGTTGCTTTAGCCAGAGGACTGAGTAGTGGTTTCACGAGTCGTAAAAGGCGCTCAACGACGGCGAACTACGTTGTCTGGAAAATGTCGCACAGTCTGAAGCTCGTCAAAAAGCCGTCGGCAATGTTGCCGATGAAATACGTTCTAATGTTGGGGCGCATATGCCTTGTCCACTACCAACATATAAACGTCGCCGGCTTTGCAAAACTAAAATAAATCACAAGAGGTCAAAAATTATGTGAGAAAAGTGCCAAGTACCTCTTTGTGTAGTGCCTTGTTTTTACGCCAATCATTAGCAATGATGTTTTTATTTTATTTTAATAAAGCCCTTATAAACTTATTTTTAATTATTGATTGTCAATGTTTATAATTTTTAACCACATTTTATAAAAAACTTTTTTAGCAAACAAGCAAAGGTATACCATAAGCAGAGGGAAAGAATTTGTGTGTCCGTTGACACAAGAGCTACAAGCTTTTATAAGCATATTGATAATCATGGGGTATCACATCCTGCCTTCTATACACCTATATTGGTCCTCTGACCCGGGTTTCAGCGTCAATGAGGTGAGTGATGTGATGCCCGTAAAAAGGTTCAAAAAATATTGCGTTGTCTGCATTTGAACGATAATGAAAAACAGTCACAAAGAAATACACCTGATTACGACAAATTTCATAAAGTTCGACCTTTACTAAACCTCATAAACGAAAGTTGCCAAAATAACGCCGTCGATTCCACGTCCCAAACCAAAGACGAGGCATACCATACATACCATAGGCAGAGGGAAATAATTTCCCACCATAGGAGTAATAATAATATTTTTTTTAATTATTTTATTTTATTTTATTTCTAACACTAAACGATGACATAAACCATCACCAGTTTTACTATAACTATCTCAGTTCCATATGTCTTATAAAGGGTTAACAACAAGCGCATACTGTCCCCAAAACACAAGCTCCATCTGTATGAAGTTTTCGTAAGACCTATCATATCATACCGAAATATAAACTCACAACAATATAGACCTTCACCTGAATAGCTGATGTCTAGGAGACTTGCAAAAACGGAAGGTTAATTTCATAACAATAAATAATTATATGGATAGAAGCGTGAGCACGCAGTTTTGAGTATGAATACTGAGCTATATATTGCTAAAGTCATTTTATCCAACAAAATTTATTGACTCTCCAAATGGTATTTCAAATAGACGCCACATGGCCTAAAACCAACTAAATTGAAATAAATCGGTAAGTGAAATGGTGAAATCGTGGATTGTTACGGACAGATTGGACATGATAATTTAAACAATACGATTAACTTTATTTATTTAGAGTGGTATTGTGAATATATCTACAATTTTTCTCTGTATAGTAAACTTTTTTAAGCAGTCGTTTTTTAGTTGCCGTTTTAATCTTTCGAATTGTTCATTAAACAAAGTTATGTCATTAGTAATGACTGTTGCGTTTTATCGTAAATCGAAACGCAACAATGACAAATAGCCCGGGCCAATCAAAAAATTCGAATTAAATATATAACGGTTCTAGACTTCTTCAAGACACGATAGCATAGTTTAACTTAAGACAGTAGTTCACCTTGTATATACATTTTTAATTGTCTTTCAATATAAAAATCTTGTTTTCATCCTTTACTTCATGAATTATATGCATTTAATACAATTAAAGTCAAGATTTTTATTTTGGGAATTCGACGACATCAATTTATTATATACATCACCCAAGAGCTCCTGCCGCATCCAGGAACAGGATCTTGGGCAAACAATGACAAAATACATATTAAGGTTTTTAAATGCTATTAGAATTTTCGATCAACAGATACCTTATGTGTTCCAGTATTCTTTACATAATAGCTAAACTGATAAAATTAAGAGACAACTTCACCCATTATGACAACAAAGAGGGTTTGGAATTCACTTGTTTCGATTTATGTGATCACCGCCGATTTAACAAGCATTCATTATCATTCATCATGCATATGTGAATACCTTTTGTAGGTAATGGCGATTTCCGATTTTGTAGAGTTAATGTAAGAGAACGGTTGGTGTTCGAATCAATTAAATTAATAAGACACGTTCGAGGAAGAATGAAAAATGAAAACCACAAAATATCGAGGAAAATTACTGAAACGAAAAAGCGATGATAATAAGCCACACCATTTGCTCGCTGATTACACCACTTTCATTGAAGCAACCGACAACGAACTTCCTTCTTTCTTTTGTCATTCAAGTTCTGAGTGAGATGTGGAAATTCCGACATACATTAACAACTGAAATTGTCTCCTTCAGACACACGCTTGCGACAAGAAAGCTGCCAGATATAATTTTCAATAAAATAAAATTTTCTTTCATTGTTACTAATCATTACCAAGCATTATGAATTTTAAAGATAAAAAGGACAGAATGCCACATGGCATTAAGTCCGCCCTATGCACCCTTTAGCTTAAGGTGTTACATGTAAGTTTTTAAATAAATAAAATGTTTGAAATTTTTTATTAATTTTTCTTCACCACCTTCACCTTTGCCTATATTACTTATTATGAATCTTCTCTGCAAATTTGGCCTGTATACAGGGTTATTTTGCAAACAGTAGCTAAATTTTACATTGAAGTTTAAATAAATAAATAATTATATACCGATATAACATTGTTTGAAAATATTACCATTTCACATATTCCAAATATTACAATTTCGTTACATCATTGGCAAAAAGCGTACGTAATGAGGTCACGGACAACAGCGTCAGCCTGCAGCGGTGTTTAGTGTATTATCTATGGTGTCAGCCGTCGGTCGGGCGAGGGCAAGCAGACATAGGTATTTACGGTGTAACGGTAGAAGGGCGCGGCGAAGACGGTCAACAAGGCAAAATAATGGATTACCACGCATTTTGAATTTCAAAAGATAGAAATTACATAAAATTTGAGATTTTTTATTAATGATTTCTTAAATTTACGCGAATATTGCACATTGAATAAAACTAAATTTACGGATTCTATCGTCGTTAAACGTCGGGAATTAAAAAATAAATAAAAGTAATTAATTAAACGCTCTAGAATCCGTAAATTTAGTTTTATTCAATTTTTTATTAATTTTTCTTCACCTATATTTACTTGTTCTGAACCTTCTTTTCAAATTTGGCTGGTAGTTGCAAAATAACCCTGTATATGTATAACCCTAAAATAATGTGTGTCTTGTTAAATATTTTTAATAAAATAAATAAAATAATACTAATATTTGTCTTCACAATGAAAGCTGGAGTGGATCGCTAGTATATACATAACACAGTTCGGACCTCGTAGGCTGTACTCAGAAGCTTTGAAAACATTATCAGTCGTCCACAGCCAAATGTAACAACTTAATTCTCTCACTTCAAGAATGATCTATAGTGTTTCATAATAAATAATTTTGTACGTGGTATAAAGAACCACGCTGCAGCTATGTTACGGTTGTAGCATGAATTGGTCAGCCCGACCGGGGAAGGACCACGCTCTCACAGAATACCAGCGTAAAATGGCAGCTTAATGCTGCTGTGTTTCGTATGGTGAGTGTAGTGAACCGGTATCCCGTTTTAACTGCGATCGAGGCATTCCATCTTAGTACTCAGGGGTGACAACGCATCTGCATTTCGATGACGATTCTTAATCGAATGTAGATGTGTATGGGCCACAGCATCCACTTACCATCAAGTGGACTGTGTGCTCGTTTGTCACGCTTCTCCTATAAAAAATATGATTACGTTTTCGATGGCCTTTTTCATTGTTTACAATAAAACCTCTAAAATATTGTACAACAACACAGATGTAATGTGTCACAATTAATTTCAATAAAAGAGAAAAATAAGCGCATAATAATAGGAGGAGATTTCAACGTAAATTTCTTAACGAACAATAAAAAACACAATTAACTTTTCTACCCTTATGCTAACATTTAACTTTCATCAAAGCGTAATACAGGGTGCGCCTGAGAAACTTACTTATTTGAAAGGTCAATAAAAGCAAAAGTACAATACTTAGGAGCCGTGGTTGCTCAGATGGTTAACGCTCGCTGTAAATATAACAGAACGCGAGTAACCCAGGTTCGATCCCCGCCGGCACCAATGAAGTTGTTAATTGCAATTTAAAGTGCTGATTTACCACGTGCTCAGCGGTGAACATCGTGAGGAAACCTGCATGTCTGAGAAATAAGAAAAAAAATATTTCTTCTTTCTTCAAAAAAATATTATTGCCGGTCTCTGCAGCAGCACTCGTGTGGCGTGGTGCCGGTCTCTGCAGCAGCACTCGTGTGACGTGGTGCCGGTCTCTGCAGCAGCACTCGTGTGACGTGGTGCCGGTCTCTGCAGCAGCACTCGTGTGACGTGGTGCCGGTCTCTGCATCAGCACTCGTGTGACGTGGTGCCGGTCTCTGCAGCAGCACTCGTGTGACGTGGTGCCGGTCTCTGCAGCAGCACTCGTGTGTCGTGGTGCCGGTCTCTGCAGCAGCACTCGTGTGACGTGGTGCCGGTCTCTGCAGCAGCACTCGTATGACGTGGTGCCGGTCTCTGCAGCAGCACTCGTGTGGCGTGGTGCCGGTCTCTGCAGCAGCACTCGTGTGACGTGGTGCCGGTCTCTGCAGCAGCACTCGTGTGACGTGGTGCCGGTCTCTGCAGCAGCACTCGTGTGACGTGGTGCCGGTCTCTGCAGCAGCACTCGTGTGACGTGGTGCCGGTCTCTGCAGCAGCACTCGTGTGTCGTGGTGCCGGTCTCTGCAGCAGCACTCGTGTGTCGTGGTGCCGGTCTCTGCAGCAGCACTCGTGTGACGTGGTGCCGGTCTCTGCAGCAGCACTCGTGTGACGTGGTGCCGGTCTCTGCAGCAGCACTCGTGTGACGTGGTGCCGGTCTCTGCAGCAGCACTCGTGTGTCGTGGTGCCGGTCTCTGCAGCAGCACTCGTGTGACGTGGTGCCGGTCTCTGCAGCAGCACTCGTGTGACGTGGTGCCGGTCTCTGCAGCAGCACTCGTGTGACGTGGTGCCGGTCTCTGCAGCAGCACTCGTGTGTCGTGGTGCCGGTCTCTGCAGCAGCACTCGTGTGTCGTGGTGCCGGTCTCTGCAGCAGCACTCGTGTGTCGTGGTGCCGGTCTCTGCAGCAGCACTCGTGTGTCGTGGTGCCGGTCTCTGCAGCAGCACTCGTGTGACGTGGTGCCGGTCTCTGCAGCAGCACTCGTGTGACGTGGTGCCGGTCTCTGCAGCAGCACTCGTGTGACGTGGTGCCGGTCTCTGCATCAGCACTCGTGTGACGTGGTGCCGGTCTCCTGCAGCAGCACTCGTGTGTCGTGGTGCCGGTCTCTGCAGCAGCACTCGTGTGTCGTGGTGCCGGTCTCTGCAGCAGCACTCGTGTGTCGTGGTGCCGGTCTCTGCAGCAGCACTCGTGTGTCGTGGTGCCGGTCTCTGCAGCAGCACTCGTGTGTCGTGGTGCCGGTCTCTGCAGCAGCACTCGTGTGACGTGGTGCCGGTCTCTGCAGCAGCACTCGTGTGACGTGGTGCCGGTCTCTGCAGCAGCACTCGTGTGTCGTGGTGCCGGTCTCTGCAGCAGCACTCGTGTGACGTGGTGCCGGTCTCTGCAGCAGCACTCGTGTGACGTGGTGCCGGTCTCTGCAGCAGCACTCGTGTGTCGTGGTGCCGGTCTCTGCAGCAGCACTCGTGTGTCGTGGTGCCGGTCTCTGCAGCAGCACTCGTGTGACGTGGTGCCGGTCTCTGCAGCAGCACTCGTGTGACGTGGTGCCGGTCTCTGCAGCAGCACTCGTGTGACGTGGTGCCGGTCTCTGCAGCAGCACTCGTGTGTCGTGGTGCCGGTCTCTGCAGCAGCACTCGTGTGACGTGGTGCCGGTCTCTGCAGCAGCACTCGTGTGACGTGGTGCCGGTCTCTGCAGCAGCACTCGTGTGACGTGGTGCCGGTCTCCTGCAGCAGCACTCGTGTGTCGTGGTGCCGGTCTCTGCAGCAAGCACTCGTGTGACGTGGTGCCGGTCTCTGCAGCAGCACTCGTGTGTCGTGGTGCCGGTCTCTGCGGCAGCACTCGTGTGACGTGGTGCCGGTCTCTGCAGCAACACTCGTGTGTCGTGGTGCCGGTCTCTGCAGCAGCACTCATGTGACGTGGTGCCGGTCTCTGCAGCAGCACTCGTGTGTCGTGGTGCCGGTCTCTGCAGCAGCACTCGTGTGACGTGGTGCCGGTCTCTGCAGCAGCACTCGTGTGACGTGGTGCCGGTCTCTGCAGCAGCACTCGTGTGACGTGGTGCCGGTCTCTGCAGCAGCACTCGTGTGTCGTGGTGCCGGTCTCTGCAGCAGCACTCGTGTGACGTGGTGCCGGTCTCTGCAGCAGCACTCGTGTGACGTGGTGCCGGTCTCTGCAGCAGCACTCGTGTGACGTGGTGCCGGTCTCTGCAGCAGCACTCGTGTGTCGTGGTGCCGGTCTCTGCAGCAGCACTCGTGTGACGTGGTGCCGGTCTCTGCAGCAGCACTCGTGTGACGTGGTGCCGGTCTCTGCAGCAGCACTCGTGTGACGTGGTGCCGGTCTCTGCAGCAGCACTCGTGTGTCGTGGTGCCGGTCTCTGCAGCAGCACTCGTGTGACGTGGTGCCGGTCTCTGCAGCAGCACTCGTGTGACGTGGTGCCGGTCTCTGCAGCAGCACTCGTGTGTCGTGGTGCCGGTCTCTGCAGCAGCACTCGTGTGTCGTGGTGCCGGTCTCTGCAGCAGCACTCGTGTGACGTGGTGCCGGTCTCTGCAGCAGCACTCGTGTGTCGTGGTGCCGGTCTCTGCAGCAGCACTCGTGTGACGTGGTGCCGGTCTCTGCAGCAGCACTCGTGTGTCGTGGTGCCGGTCTCTGCAGCAGCACTCGTGTGTCGTGGTGCCGGTCTCTGCAGCAGCACTCGTGTGACGTGGTGCCGGTCTCTGCAGCAGCACTCGTGTGACGTGGTGCCGGTCTCTGCAGCAGCACTCGTGTGACGTGGTGCCGGTCTCTGCAGCAGCACTCGTGTGACGTGGTGCCGGTCTCTGCAGCAGCACTCGTGTGACGTGGTGCCGGTCTCTGCAGCAGCACTCGTGTGACGTGGTGCCGGTCTCTGCAGCAGCACTCGTGTGTCGTGGTGCCGGTCTCTGCAGCAGCACTCGTGTGTCGTGGTGCCGGTCTCTGCAGCAGCACTCGTGTGACGTGGTGCCGGTCTCTGCAGCAGCACTCGTGTGTCGTGGTGCCGGTCTCTGCAGCAGCACTCGTGTGACGTGGTGCCGGTCTCTGCAGCAGCACTCGTGTGTCGTGGTGCCGGTCTCTGCAGCAGCACTCGTGTGTCGTGGTGCCGGTCTCTGCAGCAGCACTCGTGTGTCGTGGTGCCGGTCTCTGCAGCAGCACTCGTGTGGCGTGGTGCCGGTCTCTGCAGCAGCACTCGTGTGACGTGGTGCCGGTCTCTGCAGCAGCACTCGTGTGGCGTGGTGCCGGTCTCTGCAGCAGCACTCGTGTGACGTGGTGCCGGTCTCTGCAGCATCACACAACACCAATCTGAAACCATGGTCAAGATGCTTACATTATTTGAAATGTTCAGTCTATATATCAAATGGTCCTTTTTATTAGTCCGTGGAGTGTGTATAATAGATATATGTGTTTTATATAGTAATGACAGACTTTATAATTTTAATGGCCACTAGTTTTAAATAATATAACTTAAATTAAAAAGTTTAAAAAACCCCTTAAAAAAAAGAGCTGATAATCTTCAAACGACTGAAGAGTTATTCTTAATACACCTTTTAAACAAAAAAACAAAATCGGTCCATCCATCCAGATATGATGCCACAGACAGGCACACAGATACACATATATTATATATTGACTACCTCGTTGGCCTAGTGGTTGTAGAAGTGCGAATGCTAATCATGAGGTCCTGGGTTCGAATCCCGCGTCGGGCCAATAAATCAATTATTGAGTTTTTCAGTCAAGAAATTCTCAGTAGCTGCCCAGAGTCAGGAAGTTGGCGGTGTCTCACCCCCGTGCCTCGGAAAGCACGTAAAGCCTTTGGTCCTGCGCCTGGTCTCTCTCCCGGTCGTGTAGGTTTACCATCCCATCGTATTACGAGAGTAAGGGAATGCCATTTAATATTAGAAATATTTTAAATACCCAAAGCGGCGTTGGGAGCACCGCACCGTCGTAAATGCGAGACATCTGTAGGTACGGTGCTGAAGATGTCTTCATGTGCCATCATACATCAACAAAATCACTGATTTATTTTACTTACGTGCGTGTAATATGTGAACATCCTACAAGCGATAGGTTTTACGCAACAATGCCAATTATCGGATTTAAAATGAGAATTATAAGATCTGTTTCATTCACAGACACTGGAGAGCAAACTTGCCGCGCCATGGTGGCTTGGGGTCTATCGCTGTCGTGCTGCTGTCATGTTGTCCCTTAGGTGTCGTCCATCCACGCATCACGTCACAGTCTATAAAAGTCCACTGCACGACACAAGCCTCCACCACAGATTGCCTCATAGGAATTTGCCATAGTTACATAATAATATGATATTGCCATAGTTGCCTAGCTTTGCAGGCGGGCGGGCAACTGCAGTTTTTTATAATTTTAAGTCGTTATCAGGAAGAAGCCCATCTCCTGGTCCAGTTTCCATATGTCGCCTATAGTACGGGACGATACGCGAAACGGTGGAAAGATCACTTGCCATCAGGTGTAATGTATACTTGTTTGTCACCCATATTCTATAAAATAAAGCAATAAAAGATATCTGTCTAGTTCTTCACGCTATACTGCTGTACAATTTTACAGTGGTACAGTTGAGCTGCATCACTTTCTACCGCCACCTGCAGCAGCACGAACCACGTTGTACTGTCGACACCAACACCACTGTTCGTGAACCTGAAATTAAATTTAAAGATTAATAACGTTTTATGAAAATTTGCGTCAGAGTTATCTTTCTGGTCTAATATAACAATTATTATAAGCTAATCAACTTTATTTTAAGCTTTATTATAAGTAATAGCCTTTATCATATTTTGATTTGATATTAAAAGACAATTCTATAAAATCACCAAAAATTTTTTTCCGTGTACTTTGATATGAACTTATCTGCTTTAATTATTTTATCAAAATACGGGTAATATTAAATACCCAAAAAACTTTGGCTCGTTTTATTCTGTCAATTATTTTATGTGATTATTTTAGAAATACTATAACTCATAACGCGCAGACCCCGTCCGATACAGTACCATAGATACACTATATACCTGTGATATAATAAACTAGTATATTCAGTTTCAGTGCGCTCCGGGTCTTCCCAACGATAGGACGTATCACTTTTCCCGCCACCGCTGGCGTTGTTAATATACACCGATTGCACTAGTTTAGTGTTGCCAAGGCTCCCAATTTGCACGGGACGTCCCGAATTTCAGCGGTGTGGTGACACGTTCCGATCCACTCTTGATCGGGACGTCAAATGTCCCGAATTTTCACTAACTTCCCTAGCTTGTATTCAAATCGATCATTTTGATAGCATAATTGAATATATATATGTAAGCTGTAACTACATTTAAATACTTTTACTTTGACAATTTCATATCATACCACCAAGCTCGAACTAAATAGGCAACATCAAAGATTAAATGTTTGCGCGTAATGTGTTGGCATGGCCTAAGCCGGAAAAACAAAGGGAAGCCCTTAAGGCTAGCTGTAACCATCTCATCGGAGCACGAAGCCTTTTGGACTAATTGCGAAAAAAATTTTGAACATAAAACTATGTTTAAGGAACTGGTGTTATGTGGTAAACAGAATCATAAAAAGATTGGAGGTTGACAGATTAAAATTAGATAACCAATTGCTGCAATGCAAGATAAAGCATATTATAAAAATATTCAAAAGTATAAAATTTTGAACGTAAAACTATGTTCAAGGAACTGGTGTTATGTGGTAAACAGAATCATAAAAAGACTGGAGGTTGACAGATTAAAATTAGATAACCAATTGCTGCAAATGCAAGATAAAGCATATTATAAAAATATTCAAAAGTATAAAATTTTGAACATAAAACTATGTTTAAGGAACTGGTGTTATGTGGTAAACAGAATCATAAAAAGACTGGAGGTTGACAGATTAAAATTAGATAACCAATTGCTGCAAATGCAAGATAAAGCATATTATAAAAATATTCGAAAGTATAAAATTTTGAACGTAAAACTATGTTCAAGGAACTGGTGTTATGTGGTAAACAGAATCATAAAAAGACTGGAGGTTGACAGATTAAAATTAGATAACCAATTGCTGCAAATGCAAGATAAAGCATATTATAAAAATATTCAAAAGTATAAAATTTTGAACATAAAACTATGTTTAAGGAACTGGTGTTATGTGGTAAACAGAATCATAAAAAGACTGGAGGTTGACAGATTAAAATTAGATAACCAATTGCTGCAAATGCAAGATAAAGCATATTATAAAAATATTCAAAAGTATAAAATTTTGAACATAAAACTATGTTTAAGGAACTGGTGTTATGTGGTAAACAGAATCATAAAAAGACTGGAGGTTGACAGATTAAAATTAGATAACCAATTGCTGCAAATGCAAGATAAAGCATATTATAAAAATATTCAAAAGTATAAAATTTTGAACATAAAACTATGTTTAAGGAACTGGTGTTATGTGGTAAACAGAATCATAAAAAGACTGGAGGTTGACAGATTAAAATTAGATAACCAATTGCTGCAAATGCAAGATAAAGCATATTATAAAAATATTCAAAAGTATAAAATTTTGAACATAAAACTATGTTTAAGGAACTGGTGTTATGTGGTAAACAGAATCATAAAAAGACTGGAGGTTGACAGATTAAAATTAGATAACCAATTGCTGCAAATGCAAGATAAAGCATATTATAAAAATATTCAAAAGTATAAAATTTTGAACGTAAAACTATGTTCAAGGAACTGGTGTTATGTGGTAAACAGAATCATAAAAAGACTGGAGGTTGACAGATTAAAATTAGATAACCAATTGCTGCAAATGCAAGATAAAGCATATTATAAAAATATTCAAAAGTATAAAATTTTGAACGTAAAACTATGTTCAAGGAACTGGTGTTATGTGGTAAACAGAATCATAAAAAGACTGGAGGTTGACAGATTAAAATTAGATAACCAATTGCTGCAAATGCAAGATAAAGCATATTATAAAAATATTCAAAAGTATAAAATTTTGAACATAAAACTATGTTTAAGGAACTGGTGTTATGTGGTAAACAGAATCATAAAAAAGACTGGAGGTTGACAGATTAAAATTAGATAACCAATTGCTGCAAATGCAAGATAAAGCATATTATAAAAATATTCAAAAGTATAAAATTTTGAACATAAAACTATGTTTAAGGAACTGGTGTTATGTGGTAAACAGAATCATAAAAAGACTGGAGGTTGACAGATTAAAATTAGATAACCAATTGCTGCAAATGCAAGATAAAGCATATTATAAAAATATTCAAAAGTATAAAATTTTGAACATAAAACTATGTTTAAGGAACTGGTGTTATGTGGTAAACAGAATCATAAAAAGACTGGAGGTTGACAGATTAAAATTAGATAACCAATTGCTGCAAATGCAAGATAAAGCATATTATAAAAATATTCAAAAGTATAAAATTTTGAACATAAAACTATGTTTAAGGAACTGGTGTTATGTGGTAAACAGAATCATAAAAAGACTGGAGGTTGACAGATTAAAATTAGATAACCAATTGCTGCAAATGCAAGATAAAGCATATTATAAAAATATTCAAAAGTATAAAATTTTGAACGTAAAACTATGTTTAAGGAACTGGTGTTATGTGGTAAACAGAATCATAAAAAGACTGGAGGTTGACAGATTAAAATTAGATAACCAATTGCTGCAAATGCAAGATAAAGCATATTATAAAAATATTCAAAAGTATAAAATTTTGAACATAAAACTATGTTCAAGGAACTGGTGTTATGTGGTAAACAGAATCATAAAAAGACTGGAGGTTGACAGATTAAAATTAGATAACCAATTGCTGCAAATGCAAGATAAAGCATATTATAAAAATATTCAAAAGTATAAAATTTTGAACATAAAACTATGTTCAAGGAACTGGTGTTATGTGGTAAACAGAATCATAAAAAGACTGGAGGTTGACAGATTAAAATTAGATAACCAATTGCTGCAAATGCAAGATAAAGCATATTATAAAAATATTCAAAAGTATAAAATTTTGAACATAAAACTATGTTCAAGGAACTGGTGTTATGTGGTAAACAGAATCATAAAAAGACTGGAGGTTGACAGATTAAAATTAGATAACCAATTGCTGCAAATGCAAGATAAAGCATATTATAGAAAAGACGTTAACACGTGAATAATAACATATTTAACTTTTTTATAACATTTATTTTCAGAATGTCGAGAGTATTCCGAATTACATCTTTTATTGGATACAACCATAGAATACTATAATACACTATAGAATGGCTGTCAACCTTATTTTGTACGAGAATCGGTGTCGCCGGGGAGCACACATACAAGCAATTACGTCGTATTATCACGACCACAGACCCGATTCGTGAATTTACACATTTTAGGCTTTTGATTAATGTTTTTGACATATTTCTTTATTTTTGTTTCTAATATTCACAAAATATAAGTCGACTTACTGGTTGTAAGATATGTATCCTTTACTTAAATTCTATTTCCCGCTATTCTTTCGACACGTAATTATTGCACAATTTGCCATTTTTTAAATAATTTGTAATGACAAAGTGTGACAAAGTATAAAATTGTCTGTATAAAATTTTGAACATAAAACTATGTTTAAGGAACTGGTGTTATGTGGTAAACAGAATCATAAAAAGACTGGAGGTTGACAGATTAAAATTAGATAACCAATTGCTGCAAATGCAAGATAAAGCATATTATAAAAATATTCAAAAGTATAAAATTTTGAACATAAAACTATGTTCAAGGAACTGGTGTTATGTGGTAAACAGAATCATAAAAAGACTGGAGGTTGACAGATTAAAATTAGATAACCAATTGCTGCAAATGCAAGATAAAGCATATTATAAAAATATTCAAAAGTATAAAATTTTGAACATAAAACTATGTTCAAGGAACTGGTGTTATGTGGTAAACAGAATCATAAAAAGACTGGAGGTTGACAGATTAAAATTAGATAACCAATTGCTGCAAATGCAAGATAAAGCATATTATAAAAATATTCAAAAGTATAAAATTTTGAACATAAAACTATGTTTAAGGAACTGGTGTTATGTGGTAAACAGAATCATAAAAAGACTGGAGGTTGACAGATTAAAATTAGATAACCAATTGCTGCAAATGCAAGATAAAGCATATTATAAAAATATTCAAAAGTATAAAATTTTGAACGTAAAACTATGTTCAAGGAACTGGTGTTATGTGGTAAACAGAATCATAAAAAGACTGGAGGTTGACAGATTAAAATTAGATAACCAATTGCTGCAAATGCAAGATAAAGCATATTATAAAAATATTCAAAAGTATAAAATTTTGAACGTAAAACTATGTTCAAGGAACTGATGTTATGTGGTAAATAGAATCATAAAAAGATTGGAGGTTGACAGATTAAAATTAGATAACCAATTGCTGCAATGCAAGATAAAGCATATTATAAAAATATTCAAAAGTATAAAATAAGCACTTGAATAAATAAAATTAGTTCTGAGAGTGTAATAATTGATTAATAGCCGTGACGTGGAAGTAAATAGGTTATCATTGGCATACTTTTGCCTAAGGAATTAAAAAGTAACGATAGCTCTCAACTATCATGTCCATTATGGTTGTTCTAAGATTCCTGTCTGATGTGTATAGTATCCAGAGATTGAGGTCTTAAAGGTTATCTCGAAGGATGTCTAAGAAGGGTGACATATTCGATTGTTGGTTGATATCGTTTGTTTTACATATTGGGCAACAAGACGCAGTTGCTATAACGCATCCTAGTTTTCTTGGGTGTCGAAAATGTGTTCCAACTATCTCACTCCTACAGAAGATATGACTGCACAATGGGGGCTAATCATCTACTGTTCACCAGGTGTCGCAAGCTAGCACTGAGCTGAAGATTTTTGTCACACAATGTCATTTAATTTAGGAGATAGTTTTAAATAAAAGTTTATTAATTTTTAAAGTATTATGTTAATATACAAAACAATAATCACAGTGGTTTGGGTTGTTTATAATTATTAATCTAATTCATATAAAATATAACTGATAGTACAAAATGAAACATTACCCTTTACATTTTTTGAACAAATTAACTTCCTCGCCACAAAAACTGTCAAATATTACACCTACGCAGTAGTATAATAATTCTATGATTACACCTCATTTTAAAATGGCGCCGCCCTCGAGCCAGAAAAAGTCGTGAATTCGTCATTTCCATAATAAGACTTAAGCACCACAGACTTTACGCTCAATCTGATTCTTCCACCCCTGTTACTAGTCCCTCTAGCTCATCATTAAGAAATGATGATGGTAATTATGGAGGCGTTTTAGAACGGGTTCTTTAATTGGCTAATGAATTAAAATTTTGTTATTCTACTTCGTTGACTGACCTCTTTAGTTGTAAGTAGAATATTTGTTTTCAATTTGTGAAATGTTAATTATGATTAATGGGTCCGTGGGGCAGTGGCTGGGTTGTAGCACTGGAGGCCGCGAGTACGAATCCTGCACGGAATAAGTATTTGTATGACCTACAAATAATTGTTCCTGGTCTGGATGAAATAAACAGACAAAATATTTTTTTTATTTCACAAAATACCAGCGTAAATTAGCAGCGTAATACTGCTGTGTTTCGTATTGTGAATGTAGAGATCCGGAGACCCTTTTTTACTGGAAACGAGACATTTCATCTTAGTCCTCAGGGGTGACAACATACCTGCGTTTTGTTTCTTAATCGAGGATAAATGTAGATGTCTATGGGCTACAGCATCCACTCACCATCAGGTGAACTGTGTGCTCATTTATCACCCTTATTCCATAAAAAAAATTACAAACCTATCGTCCACATTTACAAGAAACTGCTTCAAATTTTATCCTGTTAAAATTAAAAAATGGTTAAGATAGGTCTACGTTTAAAAATAGCCTTTATAGGCTACTTGACATTACAATAGGCCATTTTAGGCTAATTTACACAAAAAAATTAGACGAACCTAGACAACTTGGCGTCAAAGGACAATAGCGAACTTCCAAACAAAAAATTTACGTGGTAGAGCCATGCTGCTGCTATATTGTAGTTGTAGCACGAATGGGTCAGCACGACCGCGGCAGGACCACATTCTCACAAAAAATGAGCGTAAAATAGCAGCGTAAACTGGCGAACTGACGGCACTGAACTTACTAGACTTCAGCGCTGCGCCGGTTTTTCAGTTGTGAATGTAATACATAATACTTAATATTATAAGGCCCGCCACATATATGGATGTTATGACTTATGACCCATAGACATTCACATTTATCCTCAATTAAGAATCAGTAAAATAGAGTAGTGTTATTTAATTTATATTTGTACTACATAATATACTAAGATGAAATGCCTCGTTTCTTGTAAAAAGGGTCTCCGGTTCTCTACACCCACCATACAAAACACAGCAGCATTAAAGTGCTATTTTACGCTGGTGCTCTGTGAATGTGTGGTCCCAGCCCAGTCGAGCCGACCTCTCGTGCTGCATCCACAATATAGCTGCAGCGTGGTTGTACCACCACCTTTTTGCGTGTGTACCATAGTGAACATTCTTCACTCCATTCTAATACACACAACATCCGTTATTTCCGTTACAGCGTATTAAAATTCACTGCTGAACATAGGCACTCCCCCATTGCCCAATAGGGGGGATATTTGACATAGTTGCAACGGTTGGCATGCAGGTTGACAACCGCAGTGTTTTTATTTTTTGTTGTTATAACAGTACATTTGCACTGAGAAACATCCAATACGTAATGTTTTGAAACAAATCGCGTAAAATAAATCACAAAATATGTTTTGCCGATGGTGGCGTTCGCACTCACAAAAATGTGTAAAATTTTCAACAGCTATTCAAACTTATCTTTCAATATGACAATATTTCTACAAATTTGTTTTCAAACATTTTGTTTTGTAGTAATAAAGATATAATATAGTTAAAATATGTAATGTACAATAAACTGTCAAACATATTTCACTACAACATGTTCTTTGACTATGCAAACGCTTTTTGATATATTGACAGAAAACAGTGTTTAAAACATGTTTTTGTGAAAATCGCGTCAGTGCAAACTCACGGTTAGGAAGATGCTGCTGCCGATCTCCTGATTTGTTTCCCTCTGTCGCCTCTTACAACTCCCACGGGATGGGGTGGGATGGGGTAGTGGATATTCCTTACACGACCACTACACGGTAGATATAACATAGGTATTTGAATTTCACATAATTTTGTTAATTTTTTTCACACTAGGATTTTCTCCTGTATCGTGGAGGGAGTTTACAAACATAAATTGCACAAGGACAAACATCCGAAACAATTATTTGTAGGCTATACAATGCTTGTTCCGTGCGGGTTTCAACCCGCGGCCCCCAGCGCAGCCACTTATTGCTAAGCCACTGCGTCACAACGGCCTCAACAGCCCACTGTTACATATATTATATCTGAATAATTCGAAATTTAACGGACACATTAATGAAAAAAATTACTTCATGATTATGACCTAGTGTTCTCACTAGGATCAACATTCAACACAGCGCATGATCACTGCGTGTTATTTAAGTTTAAGCTCTAATATTATGTGTATAAAGAAGATATTACACATGGACCTTTCATACGTAGCAGAGTCACGCTGCAGCTACATTAAGGTTGTAGTACGAATGAGTCGACTCGACCAGGGAAGTACTACGCTCTCGATATGGTTCGTATGGCAAGTGAAGAAAACCGAAAACCCTTTTTACTGAAAACAAGGCACCAGCGTCCTCACGGGTGACAACGCATATGCACTTCAATATTCAATCGAGGATAAATGCTCAATGCAAACCAATGGTCCACATCATTCACTTGCTGTCGGATGGACTGTGTGTCCGCTTATCACACTTATTCTATAAAAAAACCACGCCCACACCGGAAACAACGATTGCTAAAGAAACGAGATTTAAATGTGTTCAGTGAAATGAACTCACCTGTAATGAGATCCGCACACCGGCACTGCTTTTGGATGCTCCCGCAGCTCCTGAAATGTTGAGAACATCATCAATGTCATTGTAAGTAGTATGTAATGGGGTAAATTTAAACTTTCTTCTTTAAATCATTGTGTTGACTGTGAGAGAATGCCAAAAGGCATTAAGTCCGCTCTTTGTAATCATTTTATTAGGGTGTGCAATAAATTGTAAATCAATAAACATATAAAACATTTAAATTCGCTATAACATTACAACGTCGAGCACCTGCGTTACCGTGGGTGTTATATAGTACTGTTTTTTATAGGAGGGGGCAAACGAGCGTGCGCATCACCTGATGGTAAGTGACTACCGCCGCCCATGATATGTGGTAAAGCCGTGCCGCAGTTATGTTAGTAGTATAGTTGTAGCACGAATGAGTCAGATCGACCGGGGAAGGACAACGCTCAGAATTCCAGTGTAAAATAGTAGCTTAATTCTGCTGTGTTTCGTATGGTGAGTGTAGAGTACCGGAGACCTCTTTTACTGAAAACGAGGCATTCCATCTTAGACCTCGCGGGTGACAACGCATCTGCATTTTGATTTGTAATCGGGGATAGATGTAGATGTCTATGGGCCGCAGCAACCACTCACCATCAGGTGGACTGTGTGCTCGTTTGCCAGCCTATCCTATAAAAAAATGAACAACTGCAAAACCAGGCGAATTGCAGATGCGTTGCCGACCTTTTCAAAAGAAGTAGGCTCTTTTTTAAAGCTCCCTAAGTCCCTAGTTGTTAACATGTTTTTACTAATTGCTGATTTACCACGTGCTCTGCGGTAAAGGAAAACATCGTGAGGAAACCTGCAAAAGTAATATTTCGAAGACATGTGAATTCCGCCAACTAACATTGTGACAGCGCGGCGGACATTTCTTTGCCCTAAAACCCTCTCAGAAATGAGAGGAGGCCTGTGCCCAGCAGTGGGACGTTTATAGGCGGTAACTCTAACGTTTAAAAATATATGACTGATATTATACATGTATATCAAATACTATGGTCAAATTATGGAAGCAGTCGGCACGTATATAATTACCAAGGAAAAAACTAGTTTAGAAAATTCTACATCATGGAGTTATTAATTATAAAATTAATAGTCCGACTAGGTAAGTCCAACTTCGACCGAGAGGTCAATCGACGGATTCAACTCGGCTGGGCAGCGTTCGGGAAATTACGACACATCTTCTCGTCAGGTATACCTCAATCTCTGAAAACTAAAGTGTACAACCAGTGCGTGTTGCCAGTGATGACTTACGGATCAGAGACGTGGTCCTTCACTGCTGACCGTATGAGGACGTCAAGGTCGCTCAGCGAGCTATGGAGAGGGCTATGCTCGGAGTTTCTCTGCGTGATAGACTCAGAAATGAGGATATCCACAGTAAAACCAGAGTGACCGACATAGCCCAACGGATTAGTAAGCTGAAGTGGCAATGGGCCGGCCATATAGCTCGAAGAACCGATAACCGATGGGGAAGAAAGGTTCTCGAGTGGCAGCCTCGTACCGGTAGGCGTAGTGTAGGGCGACCCCCCACTAGATGGAGTGACAACCTGGTAAGACATGCAGGAAGTCGATGGATGCAGGTGGCTCAGGACCGCGCTTTGTGGCATTATGTTCAGCAGTGGACTTGTGAAGGGCTGTAATGATGATGATGATGATGATGGAGTTATTAAATTACTGTACATATAAGCGGTAAATATCACAACATAACAACTTTCACAGAAATGAGGTGAATCGTGGTATACTGAACACATCTGCGTAACCTTTAGAGGGTACAGGCCTGATGTTATTATGTGTGATTGCGTAAACACAGCACGGATATATGATAGCAGCAGTCGCGGTTGATTTGTTGGCTTTATTGAAGAGTTCCGTTTTCTGTCTCCGAAACTCGTCATCAGATCTTTGCGAAATTCAAATCGGACTATTTCGTAAGAAATCTCTTTCGAACAAAAAAAGAATTTTGGTAATCCGTCTATATATGACGGAGTTATGCTCGAACATACACAAAAAATATAAGCATCCGAATTGAGAACCTCCTCAGTCCATTTAAAAATAAAAATTAAAGTCTTCCGGACCCTCGCTGTCTACGTAAATACCTACGACTTCTGTGGTATTCTATACGAGCGGGGCTAAATTGCAAAATTAGGAATCGTAATAAAATATCTCCGATTTGTGTTATCGACGAAAAATGTAACTTCAATTCGTTTGATTTATACTTGTTAAATTTTAAAGAGCAATTCCAAAATACGAGCAACAAGTTAACGATTAAATTTTATAAAGTATTTTAAACAAACAGTGCAAAATGGCTACCTTTTAAATAAAGATTATGTATGCTAAGTACTTACCTCATTACTGCTTTTCACATAACAAAACACCGAATACAATACAATATTACTATTCCACTTGAAGTTTTATTATAATATTTAATGCAAAAATGTAAATAATATTTCCACTACGAGCTGCACGTTTGTACATTACTTGTAGCTGTTGCCTCGAACGGCGCCAGCGCGGCGCGTTGCACTCTGAGCCGAGTGCTGGTCTCCTACCCGCCATTTTTATTTTCGCACACACCGGCAACTTTTAAATTATAAATGAGTACAATTTAAATAATAATAATGAACTAATGTAATTTAATTCATTACCTACTTTTACTAACATATATTTAAGACATTTTCTTTGTATTTTCAACAAATTCATTATTATTAATATTATATTTTCAATATTATTATAAATGCTTACGCATTTGATATAATTAATATTAGTAATGATTTATAATTTAAGTATTAGAATAGAATGAATGTAATTTTACCTTGATACTTGTTTATCGAAATAAATAAATAAATAAAATAAAAAAAAATCTCATACAATCGAATCGTACTATTCTAATTAATTTTGTATATATTTCTATGAGGGTGATATTGCGGGTTGAAATACCACTAACCATACCACTAACTACCATAATCTATTTTTGTACGGTATATATTAAACAAACTAAATGTGCCCGTGACTTCGTTCGACCTCGAAATTATTAATTGAAATTTTAAGTGCTGATGCACCACCTGCTCGGTTGTGAAGGATAACATCGTGATTCGTGAGGAAACCTGCCTGTCTGAGAAATAAGAAAAAAACATTTCAAAGACATAATATGAAGTCCTCCAACATGCATTGGGGCAGTGCGGACACTTCCTTGCCCTAAAACCCCCTCAGAAATAAGAGGAGGCCTGTGCCCAGCAGTGGGACATATATAGGCTGTAACTTTTTTCGGGACATAATGCGACAAAAATATAGAAGAAACGTATATTTTGGATCATTAAAACAAACCCTCTTAAACAACTACTCAAAGTTTAAAGTTACAGCCTACATGCGTTCCACCGCTGGGCATAGGCCCTTTATTTCTGATAGGGTTTGACAATATGGCCATATTTAAATTTAACACTTTTTAGGCTTCCTTAGTTTAACAACAAGGAACACTTATAGTTCCGCCGTGCCCGTCCGTCCGTCCGCGGTTTTACTGAGAGGACCTAGGTGCTACAAATCTGTAATTAGGCGCAGTTATAAATATTAATTCCGCCTACAAAACTGCGAAATGAAATCATTAAAAATATTTTTATTTTGGGTAGCTCCGAAACAGGATTGTTTACCCGTCTATTCCATCGTGTGGTGCATCGTTGGACAGGTCTTTTAAACACTGGGGGTATGGAAGAACTTCTTCTCGATTAAGGGGTTCGTTTGAGAAATATTTAGCTATACAGTGATATTTTTCATTAGAGTCATGTCCCCCTCCCCCTCTTCTACCACATAAACCGCTGTGTTTGGAAATTGTGAAGGAAAAAAGTATACACTATAATAATATATATAATGAATTTAAAAACAAAACTATTACAGCTAAGTATAATTAACAAGTTAACGATGGTCGACTAATTTATAAAATGCACTTAGATTAGTAAACATTTTGTTACAACTCCATAGAAAGTAACTACACAAAATGCACTTGGATTAGTAAACATTTTGTTACAACTCCATAGAAAGTAACACAAAACTAGCTGCATTATAACTTTGTAATGTTTTTGTGAACTGTAAGAAATAAACATTTTATGGAGAAAACGACTTATAAGATTTGGGACCTTCCCCCGCATCATATCATAACCTGTGGTATCGGAGTCTACTAGGTTTTTATTAAAAATAATATATATGATATATGGTATATAGTTATATAGATACCGTTTTTTTACGCTTGCATTTGTGCGAAGATTATAGGCATAGTGCAATTAACTTACAATAGTGGGCGCGCGTATCGTATACTTACGTATGTAATTACTCAAAGGTACCGATAAATTTACTTAAAATTTTTATACGAAATTATATTTTTGACGGCTCCGTGGTGCAGTGGCTTAGCAATAAGTTACAGCGCTGAAGGCCTCGAGGTCTAATCCCGCACGTAACAAGTATTTGTAAGGCCTATAAGTAATTGTTCCGGGTCTGGATGTTTGCCCTTGTACACTTTTTGTCTGTAAACTGCCTCCACGATACAGGAGAATATCATAGAGCGGGGCAACATTTTTTAAAAAGAAAAGATATCATTGAACTTTAATGCATGTGTTACCATTCCTAATTAAGGCCGAATACGAAGAGAACTGGCGAAAATTAATGTATTTCTCTTGACTAGAACTATGACCTGAAGTAATTCTAAGCTTTAAAACATTTTTGTAGGTTTGTTCGGGTCCTTCACAAGGTCACCGTCATTAAAATTTTAAAATAAATGAATATACCAACAAATAAAAAAAATGTTAAAAAATGATATATAAAATTATTGTTCTTCCAAAACTCTGTGAATTTTAATTTAGGAATAATTCTTTTACGTAAAAATGTTTGTATTGTGATTCCGAAGGTACCTGCTATCTTTATTTTCGATACAAAATATTATTTATTAACATAATTCGTTTTAATTAAAAACACCTAATAATAATATCGTATATTGCCAGATAAAAGTTTGCCGTAATAAATTACCAGGCGCTTCGACGTGTGACGTAAGGTAACAATAGTCGATGTG